GGGAGGTTGGAACTAGATGGTCTTTAAGGTCCCTTTCAACCCAAACCATTCTATTCTGTGATGCTTCTATAACTGTGCTTCTGTCAGAAAAAAGGTTTGTAGCTAATGTATCACTGCAGAATTAGATTGGCTTTTTATTTGTTTGATCTGCGTGTTCAGTATTGTTTACTTTTGATAATTAGATAGTTCCATCACAAGTCCTGGCTTCCAAAATAGCCTAGGGTGACCATTACCACACTCTGGCTCCAAAGAGAGCGATGTGGTTTCTGAAGCACAGTGTTGTGCTTCTGCGCGGATCGGGGTTATAGGATAATTAACGCTGGAAGGGACCTCAAGAGATGGTATTATCTGCATGTCAGTACTACTCAGAATACTTGCATTAGTTCATATCCTGGTGTGTATTCTCTCTTTCATTTACTAACAAGGGTATCTTGCCTATGAGCGAGTCCAGAGGAGGGCCATGAAGATGATCAGAGGGCTGGAGCACCTCTCCTATGACGAAAGGCTGCGAGAATTGGGCTTGTTCAGCCTGGAGAAGAGGAGGCTCCAAGGAGACCTCATTGCAGCTTTCCAGTATCTGAAGGGGGCCTACAAGGGTACTGGGAGAGGACTTTTTACAAGAGCCTGTAGTGATAGGACAAGGGGTAATGGGTATAAATTGAAATCAGGGAGGTTTAGATTAGATATCAGGAAGAAATTCTTCACGGAGAGGGTGGTGAGGCACTGGAACAGGTTGCCCAGAGATGTTGTGGATGCCCCATCCCTGGATGTGTTCAAGGCCAGGCTGGATGAGGCTTTGAGCAACTTGGTCTAGTGGAAGGTGTCCCTGCCCATGGCAGGGGGGTGGGACTAGATGATCTTTAAGGTCACTTCCAACCCAAACCATTCTGTGATTCTATGATTCTTCTGTCCTGCTTCCAACAATTCAGTTATATATAAAGGTTGGAAATACCACCACTTCTACTATCTCCTATTAGTCTAAGGTATATTTTCTGGAGGCATACTAATAGGGGCTTGCCAGCAGCAATGTCCACGCTGAACATCTACTACTTGCACAGTCCTTAACCTTATGCAGAAGTATTTTTGTCCTGTGTAAGAAGTACAAAGTAGCTCTTGGGAGCTTCAACACCACATACCCATGGTGATTATGTACTAGCAAACCAGCAGCCAGGTCCTCAAGTTGTTACTGTTAAAAGCTGGCTGGTGGATGGCTGTAGTGCAGAATGAATTATTACATTCTACCATGACTGCTAAGTATGTTGAAAAGACTGTCCTGTTCAAGACCGGAGCAAAAGGAGACTCTTGTGTTTATTTGCTTTCCTTCCTGTGGATGACTGATTTGTCTGAAGGATTTTGTTAGAGTCTCTGGCCCAAAAGCAATGATGAAAGTTGTGAAGTTTTGTAAGGTGGACAAAGGAGGAGTGGAAGGTAGGATACAAATAGGTAGAGAGGGGAAGCGAACAGAGTAAAAGGTTAACCTTTTAAGTTCTGACAGCTCTGCAGGTATGTGTAACTACAGCTTGCTGCCACTTACCCTGAGTAGTAACTCTACGCAGTGCCTTGTAAGTGATGGCTGCAGTGAGGATTGAACTGGTGGCTGAACCACTGTAAGCACTGTTCTCCTTTTACTGTGTATGGTGGGATTAGCAGCTTCTGCTGATCATGAAGTGGCTTGTTAAAAGTGTGCCAGCAATAAGCAGCTTTCCCTCACTGGGGAAGGTCAGAGAGTGAAGTAAGCACCAGGTGGTCTGTCCTGGAAAAAGAAGTAAACAAGGAGGGGATAAAATCTCAACTTTTCCCTAGACCTGGGCAGCGTCCCTCAAAGCTGCGAGTGAAATTTGGCAACGTGAGCATTGGCAGAAGCCAAGCATGAAATGGCTGCAAAGATGATTCTTTCAGTACTGGAGATGAGTCTTCGAATCTGGGTTATGTGTGTAAGCTTGTAGTTTTGCCTTCTGCATAATTTGTGTGTTCTGGATGAACAGATTTCAGTTTCCAAGGCTCGCAGCCAGCACCTCACAGCAGTAGTGAATTACCATGAAAACAAACATGCACTGTGCTGTGGAGGTGCTTGCACTGTTCTATACATTGCAGCATAAGCCAGAAGGAAAATAGAGCATGTAAGAACTTTAATGAAACTGTAGACATAGAAATACGTTCATAAGCATTCTATTTATTGCAATTAGTAATAGCATGGATAAAGTAATAAAGGTAATTATTTCTAACTAGGATGTATTATTTACAACTCAGTGGTGTTGTTAAGGCAGTTCATATTTTAAATGAGCTTTAATTGCATTCATAACAGTAAAAGAAACTTTCCAAACCACTGAACCCAGTATTTTCTTTCCTGGTTTTATGGCCTATGCCCGTGGGCTGTAGATATTAAAAATAACTCTGAATTATGTCCACAAAATGGAGGTCAGTGGATATCATGAAGAATATGCTTCCAAAGAAGACAATTGAGTGTAAAGAAGCAAGACATTCCTGTACGTGCTGAAGCTTCTTCATATTTTCTTTTTTTAGGAGCAGCTTCAGGTTGAATGCCTGCCCATATCTGAATAGACCTGAACTGAGACCAAACATATGTAAAGCCAGATGTCTGTAGTGAAATCTGTATGAGAAAGAAAAGACCTTGGTCTTCTTGATGAATGTAGGTGGAACAGGCCCTGGAAATTGTGTGTATGCTTTGTAAAAGTGTATATACATGCTAGGGCTGTTCATTTTACCTGGTATGCACCAACAGAAGTCAGTTTTTAAAAATCTGACTGTTGTTTTTCCCTTCTACACTATGTATTCTCCTACTGGCAGTTGTCATCCCCTCAGTAAGGTGCAGATACACACCTATGGCAATCTGGCAGTTGGCACAGGTGAAGGGCCAGGACCTCCAGAGCACGTGGGTTGTGTTTACATGCTTAAATAAATGGTGCTGACAGTCAGAACTTGTAGACTTTTGGGATCTGCAAACCGCAATATACTGAGGAACTGATTTTAGTTTGTGCAAGGGATAACCTGTGAACAGATGACTGTTTAAATAGTCCTTATGGTCTCATTATTTTTTCAGTCGAGACTTATATAATTTAGGATGCCAGCACAGATTAATGTATGTATGTTATGACCAAAATCTCATTTGCTATATATAATAAAGCAAAACTGATATAGTTCTGGTGATTTGTGTGATGTGATACAGGTTTCCACAGACCAAAGTTCTGTCTCGAGTAGATTTAGAAAATAGATTTTTAACAAATTGAAAATAAAAACCATAGATTTGACTATTTCATTGTGAAACCTCTGGTAGCTTTTTAACATTTTTGCATTTAATAGATAACTTCATGACAAAAAGTTACCAAATCATAGAAGGCCCATTTAAAGCATTACATACTGTGTGTGGTCATTAATACAGAGCTCAAGTGATATTTATATGTTGTGGGTTGCTGTCTGCACTGGCATGCACAGAAACTCTAATACACTGTTTAATGGACTTGGGATTTTCTCCTGACTTGGTGATGTCCTGTGGCTAGTGTCTGTTTCAAAACTATATCTGTTTTTCCTAATTTTTCTATTAAGTAATACATGTGATGGTATAGGAATTGTCTCTTTCTGTGTGAAACGTTGGGTCTTTCTTCAAGAGTTTGATCAGATTTGTTTTGATGGATAAAAAGTTATTTGAAAATAGTAGTAAATGTTGAAAAAAGCACTACTGGATGCCTACTACTAGCTTTTATTACTTTTCAAACCAATGACTCCGTGTATGTCCTGCTATGAGTAGGAGAAAAGTTAAAACAGCCTCCAAAACCCAATAATTTGTGGATTAAACCTGGAGAAATGTGTTCCCTCTGATGAGACGCACTGTGGAATTTATAATGTGGCAAATCCTACTTTAATACTGCTCTTCAAAGCTGAGTCCTGCCACTAATTAAGTTAGTAGATAATGCTGAAAAATTGAAGAATGAGTGAACACTGACTATAGAGCTAGGAAGCAAATTGAGTAACATTCCACAAGCAGTGTGAAGCGCCTTTTCTGAGATAACCTAATAGAAAAGATAGTGTTTTAGAGAAGTGTATTTTAATGACAACAGCAATAGGGATTCACAGTTGCAATTCAGTTTCTTACGTGCCTTTCAAAATGTTCACTTTCTGCAAAAATTCCAGTTCTGTGTTCAAAGCTATCAACTTTGTCTACACTGCATATCTTAATAATTATTGTTTTATTTACAGTGGTATTTAGTTCATTGTAATGTTGAAATTCTCATGTTACTTTAACGCAGAAAGATTTGTCCTTAGTGTTTGTAGCACTGTGTGTTTAAAACAGTGCAAGAAACATTCTGAAGCTTTGGGGGCCTATCCCACCACCCCCAGAGAGGTTGGAGAGCAGGCTGGAGCAGGTAACTGGGGGCAGGCTGGAGTTCAGGTGTCAGGCAAGGTCATGGTGCTGGGGCAGGTAGA